CCTGATAGACTCAGTCCAGGCAGGTCCAGTCCAGGCTTGCTCCACAGACAAACTCATTTCTAGCATGGTTCTTGCACCTAACTACTGAGGTTAGAGAAGTCATAGGTGTGAGTACTTATGACTGTTATTCTGCTATAGATATACTTGTAAACTGACTCCTAATGATTCTTTGTTATACCCATAGATTAGTGCATATCTCAACCTTCATCAGAGATGTTTCTTTCAGCAGTGGATGGTGATTAACACATATCTACAGCTGCTCAACAGGTAGAGAATAAGAGACTGTGAATGTTCAATCCAAAATGGGACCTCCACATCATACCTCTTTTATCATGTCTCAGGGATCATAAGGGAAGTAGGGGAGGAGAGATTGTAAGAGTCACAAATGATAGATGACTACATCAAAACAATGTTTTCAGGATGTAACCAAGCACCTCACAGTGGTTACACAGTATGCATAAAATCCCTGTAAAATCAATCCTGAAAAAAAATCGAAGAATGGAAGGGGGATATGGTAATGAAATCTACCTCTAGCTGAAGAACTATTGGCAATTGATGACTAGTGTGGTAAACATGGTGAGTTTCAATGATGCAGTCCCTAAGAGGCTACCTACTCTCAAGTAGGTGACTCTATACTCATATAATACAGGTAGTGACAAGTGGAGGCAGTGGGTTAAAGAAATTGAAAAGAAGAGATGAAGCTAGGAAGGAATAGTGGTCGGAGGATGAAGAAAATTGGAGGAGAAAAAAATCAAGAATGAACTACATCAAAACGCATTGTGTATGTGTATAAAATTTTTATACAATAACAACAAAACAAAACAATAGTGTATACCTCCAATAAGCAAATGTCATTATTCTTGAACTAGTTTGTAAGCACCTTGCCAAGAAAGCCTGATCTCTGGGGGGAAATGTCTGGTAAACATAAACTTTTCAATTTTTAATAGGTCTCTAGATTACAAACTCATAAAACCTCTTGGGTCATTACCAGGTGACTCTTGTGACATCAGTAGACATTATTTAACAACCTCTGGGATAGAGAAGATAGTCTGGGGAAAGTCACCACTGGAAATCATGAACGACTACAGCTCATTTTTCCAGAATCAAGAATAATAGGGGCTCTGGATTACCCAGTCCAAAAAGAATTACTCTCACCAAGAAAAAGGCAAACCTAGTGACAACAGCAAACAACATTGTTTCTAGTCTATCCACCTTACAGCTCACCTGCCACATGTGTATTTGCCCCTCTGTGAGAGCAGAGTAGAAAAATTACTAACGTGACTTGTGAGTTCCCCATGCACAAAGGTAAGCAATGAATTGGATGTATCATTTTTTTCCTTCCAAACCACCTATGAGGAATCCAGGAATCTTTATGTGCCTTGTCTCTTCTCTTTTGAGATGACCACTGAGCATGAATAGGGAGGTGGATTGTCAAGATAGAAGACCAGAGATGCTACAGATCCAAGAATGATCATTGGTGACCTGAATATTATTCTCAAAGAAATGACCTTCCATTTATTTGTGGTTATTTCTATAAATGAACTCCAAAATTGTAAAAAACAGAGGCACAGAGAAGTGTGCACTTTATTTTATCATTTGATTCTGGTTCTTAGTCTCATTTTAATGGGGTATGTTGGAGAAGGCTGGGATTTCATTTTAATGTTACTATTTAATGTTACTGTTCTCACAGATATGATCCTGAGAAGAATGGCCTCAGAAAATGACTCTTCAGTGAAGGAGTTCATCCTGCTGGGCTTGACACAGCAGCCAGAGCTCCAGCTGCCTCTCTTCTTCCTCTTCTTGGGAATCTATGTGGTCTCCCTGGTGGGGAACCTGGGCTTGATTGTTCTGATCATTTTGAACCCTCACCTGCACACCCCCATGTACTACTTTCTCTTCAACCTTGCCTTCATTGATTTCTGCTACTCCTCTGTCATAACTCCCAAAATGCTGGTGAGTTTTGTGAAGCAGAACATCATCTCCCATGCTGAGTGTATGACTCAGCTCTTTTTCTTCTGCTTCTTTGTGATTGATGAATGCTACATTTTGACAGCCATGGCCTATGACAGATATGCTGCCATCTGTAAACCCCTGCTTTACCAGGTCACCATGTCCCATCAGGTCTGCCACTTGATG